AATTTTTTTTTTTTTTTTTTTTTTTTTGCCGGTGCTGAATTTTTGCTTTTGGTAATGTATATAATAGCTTTGGAGTAGTGTTTCAGAGGGAAGTTCTTCTTTCAAGCACACCTCTTTCCTGTGGTTCAAACTGCTTATCTCTAGTTTCTGAAGAGGAATCGCCTGTTTTTTGGGGTGAATTTACTCCTGGAGCGCGGAAAGCGAAAGACGATGCAAAGGCAAAGGAGCCAGATGTTTACTGTTCACCAAGACCAAGAACTATTTCACTACCTCACCGGGTTTGTGGTGTATCATGCGGTACGGAACATCTCTTGATCTTAACTTTTCACGGCAGAGTTTACTCTTTTGGGAAAAACCGGTTAGCAGTTCGTTCCTCTCTCTCTTCGCTTCTTCTTTGCTAACTTAATTTTTTTAAAAACCTTTCACTTCATTATCTGAAGAGAACTAGATGAGATTTAAAAAAAATTACTGTGCTTCTTCGACTTATGGGAATAGTGTGAGAGCTAGATAGTGACATTCACTCAAAATGTGTTGTAGTTTTCAATTCCCTTTTGATTTTTCCAATTCTCGTTGTGTCTAATGAAGGCTGTCTAAGAATGAAGTATTTGTGGATAATATCCAATGTTTTGTACAGATTAGCTTTATTGATAGATACGGTCAGTGTGGCGTCGGTCACAAAAAAGAGGTTACGGAAGCTACCCTGGTACCAGTGATTTTTGAGGGAGTTCGTAGTTTAAAGGCAGGTCACTATCATTCTGCACTTGTGAATATTCACGGACAGGTATTTACTTGGGGTTGGGGTGTCTATGGCCAGTTAGGTCATGGCGGCCTGAATCGCACAGACGATATTCTCCTCCCAAAACTCGTGAAAACAATCAAGTTAGTTTTGATTGCTTGGCCAAAGTTACTGTAGCTGGATGTGTTTTTTTGCAAAACATATTTGATAAGTTTTTTATAGCATTTTTAAATTTTTTATAAACGATAATGTTTGTTTTTGTTTAAGTATGGCTTATAACTTGCTTTATAAATGTTGTATTTTGTTCTTTCTGTTACTGTTGCCTGAAAATTTAGGGACCCAGTCGTAGCCGTTGCTTGCGGTTATGCACACACCATCTTTCTGACGGAAACAGGTGTCGTTTTAGCGTGTGGTAACGGCAGCTATGGACAGTTGGGGAGCGGACAAGCAGAAAAAAAGCATTTCATTCCTATAATTGTTCCGCTTCCAGCACCAGTGAAAATTATTTCCTCGAAATATTTCCATTCATTAGCTCTTACATCATCCCAAGAATTATACCAATGGGGAATAAGTCCTCAGTCGCTCAAAATGAGGGTATTTCTCCGAAAGCGACTCCGATCAAGTAAACCAAATAACACTTCTCCATCAAATTCGTCACTTTCGGAAAAGTCTCTGGAACTAAGCCAGTCGCATCTTTCTGTTTGTCAAATAGAGCATTCCGTAAGTTTTTTTAACTCTAATAATAATGTTGCTTTTGAGAAAAGGTTATAAGTGGAAGATTTATTAGTTATCTTTATTGTGCAGTTTCTACGTCGTTGTTTAAAGCCGGACTCTTTTTTCATTAGGCTGTAGCACAGTAGGGCATTATTTTCAGATCACTGATGAAATTGTCCATCTGGATGCTGGTTCATGTCATTCAGCTTTAGTTACAAAAAGTGGTTTGTTGTATACATGGGGTAAAGGATTGGAGATGCAACTAGGTCATGGAAATAAAAAGGAGCAGGAAGAACCTCATAGACTTTTTGATCCAGAAGTTCTGTGGAAGGATGTATCTTGTGGTATGTTCATAATCATTTTCTTAGGTGGCGATTTTTCTCATGACAGCGTGTTACTGCATTTTTAGGTTTGGATTTTACTGCTGCATTGACTTCGGATGGTAGCGTTTATGTTTGGGGACGGAATGATAAAGATCATTTGGGAGTTACGTCGGATCCAGTGCCGGTAGAAATAAGGAAGATAGTGCTGAAAACAATGAAGGGTCCCAAAACAGTTCAACTTTCTGGAGGACCTTGTGTTGCTACTCCTCGAAAGTTGTCAACGGTTGTCTCATCGTTTGCTTCTGGTAAGTGCTAAATTTAATAGATTCTAATTATTACCTATATTCTTGACTAACTTTTAATTTGCTTTATTTTTAGAGGTTGTTTTTTCTGAAGTCAGCATCAAAGAACTTATTGAGAAACTGCGGTCACTCGATCTTGACGTTTTGCAAGCTATTTCTGCATCTTTATTACTAGACCCAATAAACTCATTTGTATCAGTTTTTGTTCATCTTCTTGCCGGGGATGCGAAAAGTGCTGTAAAATTATTCTTGGGGATGAAAGAGATGGAACATAAAAATGCTGGGTTATCAGAAAGCACATCTTTGGAACCCACTGACACTGGACTCTCGGAAACCACTTCAAGTGTTTCTGGCGCCGATGGTTGTGCGGAAGATCCACTAAGCAATATGATGTGGAACTTTATTTCGAAGTAATGTTTGTTTTTTTTTCTCTGGGTTCATGTAAACTCATCACCTAAATCCTTTCAGGCACTCAAACTACACGGCACAGTGGGAGCTATTAAACATGTTTTTGGCTCATTTTCCTGTAGCAGGCAGACTCTTAAGAGATCCTAAACTTAGTCTGCAAGCTCCTTCTGTAATGGCTGCTGATGCTAGTATGTTCGATGGTCTTGATGCTATGGAGAAGTTAAGGTTGATCGAGAACTGGCGTCCAACGAAACCTGAGGATTTCGTAGATGTTAAGCAAACTGACCTGCAGGTCGACAAAGCTTATATGTTTATTTAAGGGGGGTGTAGTGGTCATTTAAGTTTTGCTACCTGAATGATTTTTTCAACAGGTTTTTTCTAGAAATTGAATAGTAAAGTCCGTGTTTGGAATTGTTGCGGCACTATCGACAGGACTACAACACGACTTAATTCTATTCCGGAGAAGCGAAGAATCTGTCCCAACTGCTCTGAAGCTTGGAGATGCGAAGTAAAGCTCAAACTATCTAAAAAATAATTTGTATGACATGGCCTTATAATTAGGAGTTTTGCCAATCTCTTTGTAAATTTCGATTATATTTTATAATTCTGAATATAAAGTATTTAAGCGGGTTAGTGGTTTAAAGTATTTTAGAAACATGTAGTAATTTCTTGTTTCACGTTGTTCGTTAATATGTCGTTACCCTTTGAAAACAAATTTCCTTTTTTTGTTTGTCCAGGCGGTCACGGAAGTTCTCTACTGTAATGTAAAACTGTAATTGGGAAAACAACAATTAAGAGCATATTTCTTGATACTTTTTTTTGGAGTGAGGGAGTTATAAATACAATTGAAAGTAGGTTCAATATAAAACATGCTTTCTGAGTTATTATTGTTATTATTATAACAATTATTATAATTATTATTGTTATTATTATAGGTACAGGGTGATATGAATTTTAGATTACTAAATGTAATCTTTTTTGAGTGCACTTTCTGTTCTCTATCTTATTTTGATTGTTATCGTCAGTTTAATAATGGTTCTTTACTGCCGTTATTTTGGGCTGAAGCTGTCTGAGGACTACTACTTTTTGTACTGTGAGAATCGAAGGTGCTTACTCTTAGCTAGTTCATTGATTTCCGGGTTTTATCACTTTTTAGTGCCTTATTGTGTTTGTTTTCACTTTTAGCTATTGTTCAACCTTTCTTTTTTCGTTCCCAGTCGTGCCATAATGTGTTTATCAGGCCTTAAGCCACGCAGTTTTGCAACTCTTGTTAAATTGAGATTCTAATAATGCGGGTTGTGTTAATATATTTGTTTTTGGTCTGTTTAGCGAATCATGTATAAGACTGTTCCTTTGTTTTATAGGTGATGTACTTCAATTTTTTAGACCTGTCATTTCACATCGATTCTTATGGTTCAGTTCATGGAATTTCTTGTATTTTTTGTCAGAAGGTTAATAACTGGAGCTTAGCAGTCAAATTTGCTGTGTTACCTCATTGGTAAAATAATCAATAACAGGAATTCTTTATGGCAGTTAAAAAATGATTGATCAATTTATTTTGTTTAGACTACCATTCAGAAATGATTCAAGTAAGTGAAAGGGAGGCCTATCGAGGTTGAGCACGGAGGTTTGTTTCGTGCAGATCCAGTCCATTCATTTATTAATCACTAAAGTTGTTATGGGTTGTTGGCAGTGCTCACATTTCTGCATTTTCTAGCCGTGTGCCTTCTAACACTCGTTTTTGGGCAGTTTTTTGTATTTATTAAGTATTGCCGGTACCACTTCTTTCGTTGAGATCTAAAGTTAAGTGATGCACAGTTACTGGCAAGGGTAATCACAAGCTTAAAGATTTTCAAGGAGAAATCGCTACGTGTGATCTTGGTGAGTTTAAAGCGATGTCTGTAGCATGGGTTTTGGTTTTGTCCCTTCCCCTTACTCAACGTCGTACGTCACTGGCAAAGAGCAGATCCTTGTGTTGTCGGGTAGTTCCTTTTTTTCACACATGCAAATATGTGTGATTCTGTAGTTTCACCACTTTCTTTCGAAATTTACATGCTACCGAGTCATTCTGAAGTGTACTCAACATGAAGGTTAGACAGTTTTGACGGTTTACGGTTCCCGTCTACGTAACGACAAGCCACTGATTGGCCAGGAGAGTGGTTATTTTTCCCACAGTCTTCTCCAGCATCTCAGCGATAATGCCATCTGCTGCAAATGAGCTTTGGAATTACGAATAAATCTTTTTTAGATGGTTTCTTGCGCGATACTTTTGTTTCAAATTGAGCCTTCCAAAATTTTCTGGCACGTTCCTTTGAAGAATCATAATTTCCATTAAACTTGTTAACTTTGTCTCAGTTAAAACCGTTATAGTCTCTTTTTCTTCAGCCTAACACATGTGCAGCTATTTTAGCAACACAAGATTCTTGAACTGACAAACTGTCGGATATGGGTTTTGAATGATAATGTTTAAAAGAAATGTTTTGTTTGAGAATACAAGGACTTAATCATTGAGCAAGTGGCTTGTAACAGTCTACTGGAGTGGTGATACGACTTACGAAATAAAGCTTGAGTTGCAACTTGCAGATTTTCTTTTGGGTTTTCCGTGTAACGCTCACTCTTGAGAAAGAACCGCCATTTAATTATTTTTTTTCAAAAGCCCTTTTTTTTTTTTATTTTTCGGTCGCATGAAGGCGGTTTGACGTGAACGTTTTGTTCAAGTTTGAGCATTTCTTTCTGTGAAGATTGCGTTTGCCGGGCTCCTCCAGGTCATTGCAGTTTAGGTGCAAAAGAACTCAGTTGGGAACGGTTTTAGTACTATCAACTTGCTGAACCGTCATGTAATTGTGGATTTAAAAACATGTCTACAATTGAGTACCCTTGGTTCTGGAGCTTATCTGTTGGAGTGTTGCAGAATAAGTTGATGCATACTTTGGTTGCTGTTCTTTATATACGGTTTTACATCTGCAACTTTTAGCTACTCTAGAAGAACGAGGAGAAAACAAGTATTATTCTGAAGAGCTAGGAACGGTTTCAAGCTACATGTACATTAGTGAAGCAATGAAGATTAGACTGTTTGATGATATCGCTTCAAAAGTGCCAGCATTTTAAAGCTGCTTTTGTTTCTTAAGATATTGGGTATAGTCAGGTATATACATAAAGTATACTCATGCTAAGCGATGCATTTAAAGATTAGTTAGCTAACTGTTCGAAAGAAAGAACCCAACATCTGTTTTACATTTATACTTGCGTTAATTCGAATACTGTTCTTCAGTTTGTTTATTTATTACATTTCATTTTTTTGCAATACAGTTGCATCTGCCGTATCTGTCACTTTTTTGAACAGTTTATCTGAAACATTTTCAATGTTTTTTTTTTTATTTTTGTAAGCTAACTATATCAATAGTATTAGATTTGTACAGTTTGATGACAACAGTGTTGAGGTTGTTGATACTGTAGCAACGGTCAAAGCTTATTTATTTTCTTATAGCTGCTTACTGTTTTAAAGAAGGAATAAGAAGAAGATTATCGAAGGAAGAAAAATAAAAAAAAAAAAATAGGAAAAGTAAACATTGAGGCTCAGTTTTTTTTGTTTTGTTTTGTTTCTGGCATGTTCAAAGTGGAAAAAAAAAACCAGTGAGCAATTTTGGCGTAGTTTGGTCGTCGTCGTCGTTTAATTTTGATCATCTTTATTAGCAGTTTGAACAGGCGAAAGTCAACAATTAAAAAAGCAAGAAGTCAGTGGATGTTTGAAAGTGATTAACGAATATTGGCATAAATGGACATTTTAAAGACATTACGGCACCTTTCAGTACGCACGTTTTTTAGTCTGAAAAAAAAAATTTCTTTTGCTGTCATCTGTTATTGTTGTTTAATAACGGACAATTACGAAGATGCTTGGTTACATAGTGCGATCGGCGTGCACCAAACAACAGCACATTGTTTTGTCGATGTGAAGGTGTAACGTGGTATATTTGATGGAAAAAAAAAAAAAA